TCATTTTTCTTACAAGAAAAAACACACACAGGGGAATTGCTGACAAGGTTCAGTATTGTGCAGAATATTAAATATCTTTTTTGTAATACTCTAGTGACTATGAAGTCTGTCTCTTAGAGAACCATATGTACAGCTGTGTTGGACGGAGGAAGCTATTAAATATATTAAAAACCAGAAATATTACCAATAAAGACACTTCATCAAATACTTGGATCTCATTTATCCCAAAGCTAAGCAATGTTAAGGTTACATCAACGTTAGAAAGTCACTTTGGATATAATACTCCAGGTCTGTTAAATGCATCTGAAAGCAAGAAAACACTACTTAATAGTATTCACATTTATTAGGAGCTTTGAAAGAAATCAAGACTATATTGTTAAGTATCAACTTTTATTTTAAACAAAAGTTTTATACCTCAGAATGGCTATATGTCCCCAATTTTCATATGATTAACTGAGAAATTAGACCATATGTTTCCAAAAATTATGTTTGTTCACAGGCCCATATACACGACACAGACATCTATCAGAACTATTTGAAAAAAGCAATAAGTTACCTGCCTCTTAGTTGTCAAATCAAATTTCTAAACTGAACAATGATGACGTTTCCCTGATTCTTGCAAAACAGGATATTTTCTTCAAGGACACAGTATCTTTATAAGACATTTTGGTAATAATGGCACATGACTACATAAATGTTTTTCTATGTCAAAATTATAAAATTACTAAGTACTGTACTGAGTACAGTATTACCTATAGTACGATCCTAGTACATAACAATATGAAGACATGAATATACAGGTTTGTATCTATGTACAGTCCACATTTTCTCTACATTGCAACAGTCTGACATGGAGCTTTCCAGAAAGAATGCCTAAAATGTTTCGGCCATGTGGAGTCTCAATTATGGGGTTCCGCAGGGGTCGATCACCTCCCCAATGCTGTTTAATATCTATATGAGGCTGCTGGGTGGGGTCATCAGGGGGTGTGGAGCTTCGTGCCATCAGTACACTGATGACACCCAGCTTTACATCTCGTTTTCACCTACTTCAGTGGATGCCGTTCTGTCCTTTCAGCAACGTTTGGAGGCCGTACTGCAATGGATGCAGTTGAATGGGTTGAGGCTGAACCTGGACAAGAGGGAGGTCTTGAGGATGGATGGTCCCTCCACTGGCAATTTGGGAAACTCCCTCTCTTTTGGGGGGGGGTGACTCTCACTACACGGAGTGGGGTCCGCAGCTTGAGGATACATCTGGACCCGGCACTTACCATGGAAACCCAGGTGGCGTCCGTGGCCCGCTCTGCCTATTTCCATCTGTGGCGGATCGCCCAGCTGCGCCCCTACATTGATGAAGGGGCCCTCACCACTCTCGTCCACGCGCTCGTAATCTCGAGATTAGACCACTGTAATGCACTCTACATGGGGCTATCTTTGAGATTGATGCGGAAGCTCCAAATGGTGCAGAATGCGGCAGCCAGACTCCTTAGTGGGGTGAGAAAATACCAGCATATCTCTCCCACTCTGGCTGCCTTGCATTGGCTGCCCATTCGTTTCCGCATTGACTTCAAAGTGTTAATGATGATGTATAAAGTCCTAAACGGTTTCGGACCTCAATATTTGACAGATCGCCTTCTCCCACCTAGATATACCCAAATTACTCAGCACAACCAGGAGGGAAGGCTGAAGGGAGTAATGTCGAGAGAAGTCCAGAGAGAAAGAACAAGAAAACGGGCCTTCTCGACAGTGGCCCCTCGACCATGGAACAACCTTTCAACAGAGATCCGCCTGGCACAGTCACTGGGCATTTTTAAGAGCCATTTAAATACTTGGCTCTTTAGGAAGGCCTTCCCTTCTGTCAATTCTTGAAGTCTATCTTCTTGTTTTCTATCATTCCCCATCTTCAATACACTATATTATTGATTCAGTTGTTTTATGTTCATGATGTTTTTATGATATTTTATATTTGTAAGCCACCCCAAGTAGACGCTGTCTAGGAGGACAGGGTAGAAATCTAATAAATAAATAAATAAAATAAAAAGCTAGAAAGAAGTCATCTCATGCACCTTCTCAGAGTTACAGCACCAACAGCTTCTGCTAGTAATTGTAAAGCCCTATGTTCATATTTCTCAAGCACATATACTACGAGATCAGGATCATATACAGTAGTCCTAGTCTGTATTTCATATATAGAAGAATTTTAATAGGAGACAATTAATACACACCAAAAGGTTTGAACCAACCAAGAATGGGTTCCATACATAAAGACCCTTAAAAAACCTCAAATCCAGTAACAAAGCATAAACAATGCTTAACTTGAAATCCCAATCTTCATTATTTCTATGTTTCAGCACTTGCACAGGGTTAACACCTTGTCCCAATACATGCAGCTCTGGTAAAAAAAAGAACAGGTTGTTTGCTCCTTTTTTTCATTGTTCTCTTTTATTTTACATTATGAGCCCTGCAGAACAAAAGACAGGAAGTGAGAGCTAAGAATTAAGCCTTTTTATTTTCAAAGATGGCAAATGTTACAAATAGTTGGGCATGAGAAGGATTTAGATAACTCTGTTGATCATTTGGATTTTCACAGAAGATAACTAGCAAACAAAATATTTAGAACTATTTGAGCATTAAATGAAGAGTGCTCAAACTGGAACACTCAAAGAGTAATTTTTAAAAGACTTCTTAAAGGATTCCAACACTGCACACCCATTACACAGGGGAACTAGTTCTCATTGGTCTCAGCAGTACATTCACTTGCTGAGAGATATTATCCAAAGTCATACAATCACAGCAGGGGAGGCCTGAAATCCACTTTATATTTTTAATATTTCTCATAAATATTTGTATGTTGTGCCATTAAAATTTTAATTAATATATTTTCAATTATTAGTTCCTATCTTTAAAAAATGGCAAAAACGAGGGAATGGGGAACTGCAGACTTTTCAGCCTGACATCAATCCCAATGAAAATTCTAGAGCACATTATAAAGTGGTCAATTTGCAAGCACTTAGAAAACAATGCAGTAATAACTAAAAGACAACAAGGATTTGTCAACAACAAATCCTGACAGACTAACCTTATATTTTGATCAGGTAACTCCCCTGGCAGATAGTGGGAATGCTGTAGACACAATATGCCATATTTTTCAGTTTATAAGGAAACTGATGTATAAGATGACCCCCCCTTTTCTAACCCCAAATTTGAAAAATTGATCCATACTTTTCCCTTCCTTTTGCTAAGCTATGCATTCAAGAAAAGGCAGTAATATAACATTTCTGAATATTTTTTACCTTGAAAAACCCTATGATGTACTCCAAAATGAAACAAGAGATGGTGCTGGGAGATGAGACACCCTGGTTAGAAGATACTGAATCAGCTACTGGGGAAGAGCAAAGGTCAAGTACAAATAGTGGTACCACTAATGAAATAACTAATTAAGTAAACTGAAAGAATGTCTAGTGGCTTATGTGCACAAGATTAAAGGAAAGTCCAGTGCAGCACAACACATACAATTGTAATATTGCACATAAGAATAGGAGCCAAGGTAAACTGGAAACTGTAAAGAACTGAATAAACATTTTCTGCAAAACTTGGTGTGATGAACTAGGGTGAGCAGGAATACAAGGTCTGACCCAAATCAGATTTCCTGAAAAACCTGTCAACATAACCATCATTCCAATACAGATGCTAAAGAAGAAACTGAAAACTTTTATGTAATCTCAAGGAGAAAAGTGCTGATACACCAAAATAAGATATGCTGATATTTATAGATGACTGGAATGCAAAGGAAAACCAAATGTTGTTGGAGAATTTGGCTGAGGAGTCTGAAATGAAGGAGAAGTATAACATAATTCTGTGAAGCCAGCAATTTGTTTACTGCAAATACATACTTGAGACGATTGTATAGACAACTGTACTTGTGGACACCACCAGATGACCAATACAGAAATCAAGTAACAGTACACAGCTGCAAATAACAGGTAGAGAAGCTATATTGCTTCTGCCAAAACAAGACCAAGAGTAGATTGTGGTACTGATTACAAATGGCTAATATCAGAAACAAGAGAAAATCTGAAAAAGAATAAGAGGCAGAAAAAGAGAAAAACCAAATACAAGATGGATTGACTCTATAACGTATGCTACGGTCTTGAGTTTGCAAGAGCAAACCACTGTTGTCAATGATAGGACATTTTGGAGGTCACTCATTCATATGTTTGTCAAAAGCTGGAATTGACCTGATGGCACATAACAACAAAGGATTACAAGTGAAGGATCTTAATTTAGACATATTCTAAATTAGACAATCTGAATCATTCATGTCTGGAAAATTTTAAAGCATTAATGAGGATAATGGAAATATTACAAGAATAGGGCTATCTAACTGTAATAGGCAAATACAAAATATTGAAATATGGCCCCACAGTTTGCAAAAACGATTTGCAAAAACTCAAACCCTTCCAAGACATTGTAACACAATAAATAAAATAGTGGCTGCATGAGATGCACAAGTAGACATCAGAGACATGAAAGAATCCTACACTTGGTGAGATTTTGCCAAGACCGAAGCCATCTTGACAAGGTGAGACAACCTGCTGAGGAACCTCCAACTGCCAGAAGTCACAGCTCCAGCACAAGTCCAGACACAAACCATTTCTTGGTATATGCTATGGATTTCATAGTTTGTGGAACATCTCTGCACAAAAGAATAGTATTTTCCTTTTATGAAACGAAGCATCCACAACAGGTACAAAGGGACAAGCAGATTGGTCAGAAAGACACAAACAACATCTCTAATACTCCTACTTTTACTGGCTCGTGCAATGAGGCAACCGTTACTGCATTTTCCATCACTATAGATTTTTACAGATATACACAAAAATAATTCTTAATGAGCAAAATCTCTCTAAAACCAATCCAAGACAAATCCTACCATTTTGCTCCAATAAGAAAAATATCTAGTAATTCTATTTACTGTGCAAAAACAAAGTCAGGACTCATACCTGTACCACACATCCATACCATGACTGCTGTTATGATTTACAATACCAAACACTTCATGTGTCCATATTTTAACTGACTTCTTGGATGTCATCTGTCTTCCAAAACTGCAAGTCAAGTTGATTAATATAAATAATAACAAGAAGAATGTGTTTCCTAAAGGATCACATAAAAGTAAACAGAACCAATTCATGAAATTTGTACAAATTGTTACTTGATATAAAAAGCTCCAACAACTTATGATTGGGAGGGGGAGACAGAAGGCCCACACAGCCTACACACCAGATTCATAATTCATTGTTGTTTCTTATACTATTTATAAATAATTCTTATACTGTACATGACTATACATCACTGAACTGTATCTGCATACGGAAATTTTAAGATTTTGAAGTTTACACATACAGATATAGTTGATGGGTAGCCATAGCCAGAAGTCCACAGAAAAGCCCACAATGATGTAAAGTCATATACCTGTTAATTTTGCTCAGTTTATCTGATAGTCTTTGTAACACATTCTCACAATTCAATGAGGGGTAAGGATAAACCTTAAAGGCAACGAAGTTCCACAGGGAAATTAACACTTACTCTGTTTTCCTTCTGAGTTTGTCCTCAAAGATTTCATTCAGATTTATTGCCACTTGTCCCAGAAACTTATCAAGCCCGACAAGAGACCTGTGCATGACTACCAGGTGGAGGATATACTTCTCAGAATTCCCTTCCATCAGCAATCCAGGCAACTCAAATGAGGCCTCTTCTTTCCACACAGGATCCAAGGTCTTCTCTGCCACCGAGGTGGAGTATTTTTCCTTTCCCAGCTGGATGATTGTGTATGTATCATTGGTGCCACTTTTACCCTTTGGCTTCAGGTCTTTGGCCTGAAGGACTGTGACCTGCACATGCGTTGGGAACCACTTCTGGGCTTGTTCTGCTAACATGGTGTCAGACAGGAGGATTCAAGCAGCAACAAAAGCTAAGAGGTACAATGAGTAGTGGGAATGTTCACCAAAGCTTTACTGAGTACATATTCCTGACACATGGAGGTCCAAGGATCTCAAAGAGTCTCCCGCCTAGCTGCTGACCCACAAATGGATGGGGTTTCTTAATCTAATTTTGGTTCTCCCAACAGAAACCCTTTGCCCTGATCTTCTATTCTTACTACAGCCCTGTAATCTTAGGTAACCTCCCACACTTCTGTTAAAGTTTTTTTTTAACTTTAACCCAGTTCAAGTGTTTACTTTAACCGTATTTACATCTCCCATACCACCCACTCCACTCAGCCTTTCTTAAAGCTTGAGTAAGAAGGCAAGGGAAGGACAGTAACCTAAGGAGCGCCCTCAAAGACACCTTTTTTTACTCGCCCTTAGTAGTAACCACCCCTTGGGCCCAACATGCACAAAACACCCCCTTGAGCCCACCATGCACAAAATGCCGCATACTCCATTGTGGGGAGAATGGAGGGGGTTTAATAGTGAGCCAATGGATGGTCTGTTACTGGTGGGGAATGCGAGCGACCCTCCAGAGGTAACCTCGCCCCACTCAAACGGGACTCGGCCTGGCCTCCCTCCTCTATCTTGGTTCTCGGTTGGCCCCACTAAACTGGCGGCGGCAGCGGCGGCGAGGTGTGCCGGGAGGGAAGGGGAGGCGGCGCTGGAAAGTGGGGAACGCGAAGCCACCGTTGCCCGCCCACGGGCGCGTTAAGAGGAAGGGAGAGAAACCGCGGCCTCCTACCGCAGGGCCC